TTAAGATTTTCCCATAACCAGAAAGAGTCTATAGGTCACAGTGTATTTGCTTATGCTTTCATGTTAACTTGAATGAGATGATGACATTGTATTATATCCAGATTGGTTCGTAATATAAACACGTGACATTTATAGGGCGTTTTCCCTATTACAATCAGGGTTCATTTTAGGAACCGGACTTCCTGCTCAGCTTTAGTCTTGGCTTGTATGACCCATCTTGTATGGATACAGACAATTCCACCATCTCATATGAATCATTACAACTTCTCATGAGTCAAGGTTGGTATTTTCCCTCTCAGTTTAGAGAGTTTTTGCTTGGGTGTCAGTGTTGGAGAACATTTATTTATTTATTTATTTATTTTTGGCTTGTGCAGACCAGGGAAACATTGTTCAGTTTTTTAAACATGGTAAAGAAACACCCTCTCAGTTTAGAGAGTTTTTGCTTGGGTGTCAGTGTTGGAGAACATTTATTTATTTATTTTTGGCTTGTGCAGACCAGGGAAACATTGTTCAGTTTTTTAAACATGGTAAAGAAACAAAGTAAGTTGTGCTCATTGAAATGCACAACTAGAATTTCTGGTAAATGAAATTTGGAATATTTTAAATTGTAATTTATCTGAGGTAAAATTATAACATTTGTTAGCTATATGCACAATTCATCTAAGACTTCTAATAAAACAAACCCTACATAAGTTTTGGCCAACACACTTTCATGGTAATGTTTTTCATGGTAATGTGTTATGTTTTTTTCATAATTATAATTTTTTGTATAATCATAATTAGTTGCATTACAGCTAGAAGTGGGAATGCAGCCAGACGAAACTGAAAGAATCACACATTTCAATAGATCTTTAACCAACTCACTAGGTTTGAAAAAAACAGGTATGACAGGAAGCAGGATTATCAGTTAATAATTCTTTCATTTTGGCCTCTCACTCATACAAATTTATCAAATGCTTTAGAAGACTTGGAAGAGAGGGGATAGTATAAATTACTTTAACAGAACATAATTTGTCCTTGTTGGCACTTGATAGCCCCTGTTCCTGTTTACTGTTGTTTATGGGAAAGAATACACTGCTAATACACTGTCCCGTGTGTGTGTGTGTGTGTGTGTGTGTGTGTGTGTGTGGAAAAACATCAATCATATGAGTATCTAACAACATAAAAGCAAGTAATGATCACCCTTTTCAAGACAAACTTCCTTAACAAGCCAGAAGGAAAAAGGAAGAGTCAATAATCTACTATATTCTTGCCAATTAAAAACTGGGAAAAATGGATTATGATTAAATAAAAGGACACCAACTTCTCGCAAATGCCCACTCAATACTTTAGAGACTAAAAGCAGTGCAATACTAGGCCCACGTTTTATAGGAACTGGGTATATGTTGATAACTTATCATTTTTACAAGGCTAAGTTGGCATTTACAATTCATAATAATTGTAAACATAATAATACACTGAACAAAAATATAAACGCAACACTTTTGTTTTTGCCCCCATTTTTCATGAGCTGAACTCAAAGATCTAAGACTTTTTCTATGTACACAAAAGGCCTGTTTCTCTCAAATATTGTTCACAAATCTGTCTAAATCTGTGTTAGTGAGCACTTCTCCTTTGCTGAGATAATCCATCCACCTCACAGGTGTGGCATATCAAGATGCTGATTAGACAGCACGATTATTGCACAGGTGTGCCTTAGGCTGGCCACAATAAAAGGCCACTTTAAAATGTGCAGTTTTACTGTATCGGGGGGTCCGGGGGGTCCGAAAACCAGTCAGTATCTGGTGTGACCACCATTTGCCTCATGCAGTGCAACACATCTCCTTTGCATAGAGTTGATCAGGTTGTTGATTGTGGCCTGTGGAATATTGGTCCACTCCTCGCCATCTGCTCTGTACAGTGAAAACCGGGATTCATCCATGAGGAGAACACCTCTCCAAAGTGCCAGACGCCATTGAATGTGAGCATTTGCCCACTCAAGTCGGTTACGATGACGAACTGCAGTCAGGTCGAGACCCCAGTGAGGATGACGAGCATGCAGATGAGCTTCCCTGAGACAGTTTGTGCAGAAATTCTTTGGTTATGCAAACTGATTGTTGCAGCAGCTGTCCGGGTGGCTGGTCTCAGATGATCTTGGAGGTGAAGATGCTGGATGTGAATGTCCTGGGCTGGTGTGGTTACACGTGGTTGTGAGGCCGGTTGGATGTACTGCCAAATTGTCTGAAACGCCTTTGGAGACGGCTTATGGTAGAGAAATTAACATTAAATTCACGGGCAACAGCTCTGGTGGACATTCCTGCAGTCATCATGCCAATTGCACGCTCCCTCAAAACTTGCGACATCTGTGGCATTGTGCTGTGTGATAAAACTGCACATTTTAGAGTGGCCTTTTATTGTGGCCAGCCTAAGGCACACCTGTGCAATAATCATGCTGTCTAATCAGCATCTTGATATGCCACACCTGTGAGTTGGATGGATTATCTCGGCAAAGGAGAAGTGCTCACTGACACAGATTTAGACAGAATTGTGAACAATATTTGAGAAAAGTCTTAGATCTTTGAGTTCAGCTCATGAAAAATGGGGACAAAAACAAAAGTGTTGCGTTTATAATTTTGTTCAGTGTAATAATGAGGTCAAATGACATAAATGCAGAAACTTCAATCCTCCAGTAAGGTTGTGCAATACCATGTGGTGTTCAACAAAAAATGGTTGGAATGGTGTGGTCTATAGGCATCTGTTATCACTAATGGATTGTCACTTTCATCGTTACAGATCTTGCTCTTAAAGAATAACTGGAATGCAGCGTCAAAGAATATATCCTGTAAACACAGTGGCCTGACCCTGAACAGGGAATGTGTTGACTAATGGTTTACATAACAACTAACATAATAGTCTGACTATCATTTCTTTGGTGGAGATAAGAGAAGTCTTCATAGCATTTTTTTTTTCAAAGTGCAAAGTACTATAAGTGCTGTTCAACTGTTCTTCTGACTGCTTGTTTGATATGTACTTCTGCATTTTTGTTTTTACATATTTACCGTACAAGTAAATAAAATGAAAACTTTTTTTTTTAGATTTTTTTCCCCACAGCCCAACTCTTTACTCTCCATATCTGTATATTTGTGCATTAGATAGAGTTATTTCTAGGCATCTGTAAGTATACAGATGTAAATATGTAGGTGTAAGTAAACCTATGTGTACTTACTGTCAGTAAAACAAATGCATAATGTCAAAGTGATTCAATCACATGTACTGTTGTTGGCTACTGGTAATTCAATAGAAAATTGCACAGGTGAACGAAACTGCAGGTGTCACATGTGTACATGTATTGGCAGACTAGTTATATGGGTGTGCCTCACTAAGATGTCTACATTGCACCTTCAGGGATGGTTCCCAACGTACAAATCTTACAAAACCTCACCTTGACTGTTACTCAACTGAAATTTTTTGTGTGTCTTGCAAAGCCTTTTTTAGTTAACCCTCGGATGCATGTATTATTAAATCACAGAACAAAAACTAGATATCTTAACATCTTTATATTTACTTTAAGACAATACTTTAATAATTGTAATCATTTATTTTTCTTTCCCAAAAATGTGAATTTTTTTAGTGATAAAGTTACTAATCTCTCTGTTGTTGTGGTCACCATGCAATTAGAGTTGCAAAGTAATATAAACCAATGACAGTTTGCAGGTAAGCAAAGAATATGCCATCAGTAAACCATTAGGTTTCACTTTATTTTGATGATCCCTTTAACACATTCTGTTGACTATAAGTAATGTTGCACCTACATGTCTACTAACTCTCATTAGAGTATTAGTAAAGTACTAGTAGACTGTTAGGGTTAGATTAAGTTGACATATATTTGCAAAGTTACTGATAGTCAGTGGAATGTCTGTTGGGAGACCATCACAATAAATAGTTAGCAGATATTAAGTAGATAGGCTACTAATACTCTAACGAGGGTTAGTAGACATGTAGGTGTAGTGTTACTTATTGTCAACAAAATGTTCAAAAGTGACCATCAAAATAAAGTGTTACCAACCATTCACATATAACAGTTATGAGCTTATAAAATAGTATACTATAATAAATTACAAACTTTCTGGGTAAAAAAGACAAACAAACAAACAAATACTTCAGTATCTGGGAGGATTTGTCTTTTGCATTTCATCAGATATAAAGAAACTGACAAACAGTGTGCCTTCATAGCTAATAAAACATTATGTGTGACAGGAATTGACGTTTAAGTAGGTTCTGTGTCTTTTTGTAAACCTTCTGGGGAAACATTGTGTACAATCAGATAAGTCATGTAGCCATTCAGATAAGATAAAACTCTATTTATCAACAAATTCATTTTGGCAATAGAAGTATGAGCCGTTACTAACTGTTTGCTACAACCAGATATTGTATATCCTCATAACTAATACCATTAAATAAATTATACTAACGGTTGATCACAGGAAGGTCATGATTGTATTATTGATTTTATAGCTGTTACTTTGTTATTACTTATTTCCTAATTACTGATGGTATGGTATTCAGCTGACATAAGAAAGATCTTGTCAATCAAGGTGAGAAATGATGGTTTGTCATGTTAGCATGCTGTTTTGAGAACAGTTACCTGAATATTGCACATACCATAATATAAATGTTGCACATGCTTGACATAAACATGAGGGGTTAAGCCTTGATGCTACAGGGGCTTTTTATCTGAGCATCAGTGACAACAATATTATGCCTACAAAGAAGAAACTCACACATCATGCAAGAGGGAAATTACGAAAACAAGTAAACAGAACTTTTGGCAAGTATTTCTTTTTTAGCAACACATTATACACAAGAACCCAGATAATGTTTCTTCCTTTTTTGTCATAAGTATGTGTGTGTACTGCATGTCTTTGTAGGAGTGGCTACTTAATGATGTAATGACACACCTCCAGACCTTACTATAAAAACTTTATGACAAAAGGTGAGTCACATGTTCCTATTGAAAGCAACCGACCAAATTAAGAAGAAAGGAATTTCACTGTCATCTCCTGAACTTCTCTTCGGAAAATCTTCAAGACTTAAAATGGCCAAAAACACCAATATTCGAATCAGTCTCCCAGCAGTCTGCTTTGTCTGGCAGATTGCAATGATTATCCTGTTTGGCGTGTTCATCCGTTATGATGAGGAGTCTGACACCCACTGGATCGAACACAGAAGAAAGAAAAATATTTCCACAAATTTAGAGAATGACTTTTACTATAGATATCCAAGTGAGTAACTAACATACTAGAATGTTTTGCTGCAATCTATTGAATTGACTGCTATAGCATTGTTTAATCTCCTCTAAATCATATATGAAGGACTAACATTCTGTACTTCCTTTTCTTCTGTTACCGCAGGTTTTCAAGATGTGCATGTGATGATCTTTGTTGGTTTTGGATTTCTAATGACCTTTCTGAAGCGTTATAGTTTTGGTGGAGTTGGTTTCAATTTTCTCATCGCAGCGTTTGGAATTCAATGGGCTCTGCTGATGCAAGGCTGGTTTCATCACCTCGACGAAAATGACTGGAAGATTACAATTGGGGTTGAGAAGTAATTGATTTTTTGTAATATACTTATTGACATTACAAAACATCACTGAAATGTGCACCTTCATGTTTAGGCTTCCTTTACCCTACAGCTCACTTGACTGACATGCTTTCTACAGGATACAGGACATTCCATGCAGTTCCATGTTCCATTTTTGAAGTGATGATTAATATATACATCTTTTATCTGTATCTAAAGAATTGAACTGTCATTTTTCAATCAGCCTCATTAATGCAGATTTCTGCGTGGCCAGCTGTCTCATTGCTTATGGCGCTTGTCTTGGAAAAGTCAGCCCAGTACAGCTGATGGTTCTTACTCTTTTTGGAGTCACCCTGTTTGCTGTTGAAGAGTATATCATTCTTGAACTCCTACATGTAGGTTTGAATCCACTTATTTTCTAATAGTTACCAACATCATAGAAGGAATTTGTCATTTTTTATTATTTCATACATGCATAGGCGAAAGATGCTGGTGGTTCCATGGTCATCCACACTTTTGGAGCATATTATGGTTTGACCATATCTTGGGTGTTATATCGGCCATTGCTATCTCAAAGCAGGCATTTACAAGGATCTGTTTACCACTCTGATATGTTTGCAATGATTGGTGAGTAGTAAAGAATGTATCTCGCTAGTTTCCCCTGTTGCATCAAGCAGGGCATAACAAAAGCCCCCAATACAAATTGCTCACTAATTTTTCTGAAAATAATTATGGAAAAAGAAAAATGTAAATTTAAAGGCCTCTAGAAGTGTTGTTGATTTTCCAAGGTGTTTTAAGTACATATTGATTCAAATAACCACTTCAGAAAACTGTGCTATTTTCTATTTAATCATGTTTTTTCATTTTAAAGCCTAAACTATTGTAAGATAAACCCCCATTTGTGTAAAATAATTTATTACAGTGCAGGTATTCTGCATTTTCCTCCTCTGCCAATCAAACCCCATTTACCCTTTTTCCTTCTTCCTCTTCTTTTTATTTTTCTTCTTCTTTCTAATTTCATTTCTAATTTCATCAATCACCTTCAAGAAAATTGAAACTTATGAACAGGTCTGTTGCTTCAAAAAATATCCCATTAGCTACATGTGCAACATTTTAAAAATGATTAAATTAGAGATTGAATCAAATTTCACCCTTTTGGCAATGATGAAAAGTTGTGTGTTGCTATAGCTTGTTGCTAATTTAGTGTTTTGGAATAAAATATTATCAAAAGTGTCCTTCACCCCAGGGGCCTATGCCTGTTGTACCCAATAGGCTATCAAAATATTCAGAATTATTCCTAATTTCCATCCCTCTTCCTTTAACAGGTACTCTCTTTCTTTGGATGTACTGGCCCAGTTTTAATTCTGCTATTGCAGATCATGGAGATGGCCAGCACAGAGCTGTTATAAATACCTACCTTGCACTGGCTTCATCAGTTCTCACTACCTTTGCCATTTCAAGTATCTCACAGAATAATGGAAAGCTCGACATGGTAATCAAATCTCTGGTGAAATTTTGAGTTGATCTTTAATTTTTTTTTTGTTCATAAAATAACCCTTAGAATTTATTGACATTATTCAGGTACATATTCAGAATGCTACCTTGGCTGGTGGTGTTGCAATGGGAACAGCTTCAGAGTTCATGATTACACCATACGGCTCTCTGATAGTGGGATTCTGTTCAGGCATTGTTTCCACATTTGGATATCTCTTTCTGACTGTGAGTTTTGCTGTGTTTTATAGTACTGAAAAAGCTCAAAATAACATATTGAAGTACAATAAGCATATTATGTATTGATACTATATGTGTAATGGTTTTAAATGTTTCCATGTATTATATAATGCACTGTTAATTGTCAAACATATTTTACAATGTCCAAACTTATTGAAATCTAAATTGAAGATAGTATAAACATTTTTGTAACCATAATCACTTTATATTTGTTTCCTTATCAGCCTTTTATGGAAAAAACTCTGAAGATACAAGACACTTGTGGAATACATAACCTACATGCAATGCCTGGAGTTATAGGTGGTATCGTTGGAGCAATTACTGCAGCTTCTGCCAGTGAATCAGTTTATGGAAAAGAAGGGTAAGTGTGTGTGTGTGTGTGTGTGTGTGTGTGTGTGTGTGTGTGTGTGTGTGTGTGTGTGTGGAGCTTCTGTTTGTACTGTTACCATAAATAAAATGAAACCAAACTATCGCGTGACATGTCATACTGTGGTTCAGGTTGATTAACACTTTCGACTTCAAGGATGCCGTTGCTAACAGGACAGTCAACATTCAGGGTGGTTACCAGGCAGCTGGTCTTTTTGTAGCAATAGCATTTGGCCTTGTAGGTGGAGCTTTGGTTGGTGAGTGCAAATAAAGTTAAACAGTTAACTACTTTAGGGGTTTTGATAAATATGAATTAGAGCTGGCATTTTATGTTGTGTAATTTTCCAGGTGGGATACTAAAGCTGCCAATATGGGGGGACCCAGCAGACGCCAACTGCTTTGATGATGATGTTTACTGGGAGGTAGTGGTGTTTTTTAAATGAACTACATGGTATTGTGTAAAATAGAACTGATACATTTGAGGATTTCTATGTCAAAATAGTACTTGGTTTATAAATAGGGGGCAAACTGAATTTGTGGTGTTTTTTTTAGGTTCCTGAGGATGAGGATGAGAATGTTCTATCTAGACACCAAAACATGAACCATGCAAGAGGCATACCAGATGTGTGAGTATACATTCTGTCAAGTTTAAAATCACTTGTGTTCATGAATTCCTATAGGAAGTGTGATGGAACATTTATTTACATCATAATCAAGGTGACAAAATACAAGTAAAAGCACCTTTAGCATGGTATAAAATTATATTGATAAATGTGCATTGTGAAATGAATATCAAATTACAGAGGTGGTCATATGATGCTATTTTAAAGATTATTATTTGGTGTAACAGAATATGTTGACATGCTTTAATGTTCAAAAAAACACATTACTTTTCAAATACTGTACATTATTCTAGTTCCTCTATGCCTCGCCTCTCTCAAATGCATCGTTTTCTACAAAGCCCCTCCTTCCGACAAGCACAGTCTGCTCTGATTGGCCAGCTGACCCAGTGCATTGTGATTGGCCGAACACCACAAGCACGCTTCGGAAATGTAACGCCCCTTTCCATAATTGCGAGCTTCTTCTTCAGCTTTCAACATAAATATAAAGACAGTAAATAATGTCCTTAGTTTTACCATCAGTTCAAGCCCGAAAGGGCAACAGAGTCGCGTGACAGACACAGTGATGATGCCCATATGTATTTGCAGTACACAAGCCGCGATTAAAGGGGTCATATGATGCTATTTAAATTTTTCCTTTCTCTTTGGAGTGTTACAATCTCTTGGTGCATAAAGAAGATCTGTAAAGTTGCAAAGACTGAAGTCTCAAATCCAAAGAGATACTCTTTATAAAAGTTAAGAGTCAGCCACGCCTACCTAAAACAGCTCGTTCTACCATGCCCCCACATGTCTACATCACGATGTGGCTCCGCTCACTCTAGCCCTCCGGCCATTCCTCACTCTAGCCCCCGTCCTTGCTCACTATAAGCCGCCGCCGCTCACTCTAAGCCACCGTCATTTCTCCGATCACAAATGCAGACATGGTTTTTATGTTTACGCGACGTGATGCAACGCAACACGTAAAAAGACACAATATGGCATCATCACAATATGGTAAGGGGCGTAACATTTCCGTCACACGCTTGAGGTATATCACAGCACACCTCGCTTTTCAGATCGATGAGCTTTGTAAAAATCGACACGTTTCAGAAAAGCGGGGCATAGAGGAGAAACAATAATGTACTGTATGTGGAAAATAATGTGTTTTTTTACCTTAAACCACATAAACACATTTCATTACACCAAATACACAAAATAATGTTCTTTTTAGCAACATCATATGACCCCTTTAAGAAAGCTGACTGACTCCACTGTGATGTGATCCTCCTGTCTGTCTCTCACGCGCACACACACACAACGCGATACTCAACACGGTGCAAAACTCCGCATTTGAACAGTCAATAGCAAATACTTAAACTATTAAGTGATAAGTCTAACTTTCTGGCTCTACAACTTAATATATAATAGTGTGTTCTGTGTGAACTTTGTGAGTCATCCTCTACTTCTCCTTATCCTGTACTAGTATCCATTCTCGAGTAGTGCATCGTGTTTGTACTGTGCTTCTTTGGTAATCTGTGATGTATCTGTAGTACATTATGCAATGTTTGCTTACTAGTGGCTGAGATGCTTAAAGCTCATGTATCATATAGTTGAATATCTCTTTCTTTTTGAAGTCTTACAGTATATGTTTTTTTATTTATTACAATGGCTTGTCATGTCTGATATTTAAAAAAAAAAAAAAAAGATTTCTAGCTGTGTAGATGCGTTCATTATATGGCCAAAATTATAAAGCAGTTTATATTGGTGTAATTGTAAATTATACTGCTTCTTCCAAATGGCTAATATTAAATAATAAGCAATTTTAAGTAAATAATCTAAGCACCCAAATAACAGTTGTTGGTATCATGCAATTGAATAATTGCATATTATTGCCGATTGGTTTTTAGGGATTCAAAAGTGAAAGAAACTGATTAAAAGTGCATTCTTGTTTCTGTTCAACAATAAAAAAAAATTAAAAGTTGTAAATAAAACAAAGATTGAATATGTTTTACATTAAGGACTGAAAACGTCTTGGTTACTTGTGTAACCCTCGTTCCCTGAAGGAGGGAACGGAGACGTTACGTCAGTCGTGACTGACGAATTGGGATCTCGCCCGAGAGCCCAATCACCTTCGAGTGTAAACTAAACAAGCCAATGACAGTTGGCGTGCGTGTTTCGCACATCAGTTTTTCGCTGAGGAGCTGAGACTACGCTCCCCGGCCGTACAGCGGTGGTACAGCAACTGTGGCGACGGAACGGAGGCGTCTGGCGCTCCGCCATGCCTGACCGCCAAGGGTGCGCGAGGAACTCCAACAGGGTTCACCATGGGGAACTGAGAAGCAGAAAAGCGCACGTATCCGGTCCTTAGAGGGGAATGCCGCAGCAAGCGTGATCGACAGTGGGTCCAGTGTTACTGCCTACCTGAGGCGAGTACACGAGAGGACACGGGCTCTACACGGAGATTATAGAATCTCCCAAACGTGCTAGGCGTCGCCCAGCTGGCAGCTCTACAGATGTCTACTATCGAGGCGCCCCGCGCCAATGCCCAAGAAGATGCCGCTCCTCTCGTAGAGTGAGCTCTCACTCTGAGGGGGCACGGTAACCATTGGGCCTGGTAAGCTAAGACTATAGCCTCCACTTACCAGTGGGCAAGTCTTTGTTTGGAGACAGCCTTTCCCTTCTGCTGTCCTCCGAAGCAGACAAAGAGCTGGTCTGAGGTCCTGAAGCTCCGCGTACGGTCCACGTAAATGCGCAGAGCGCGAACGGAACAGAGCAGAGCAGAGCGATGGCTGGGTCTGCCTCCTCCCGGGGCAGCGCTTGCAAGTTCACCACCTGATCCCTAAAAGGCGTGGTGGAAACTTTGGGCAAATATCCAGGCCGGGGTCTCAGGACAATGTGAGAGATACCCGTTACGAATTCTAGGCACGAATCGTCGACCGAAAATGCCTGCAGGTCCCCCTACCCTCTTGACCGAGGCCAATGTGGTGAGGAGCACTGTCTTCAATGACAGAAACTTAAGCTCTACCGACTGCAGAGGCTCGAAGGGCTCCTCCTTCAAGGCCGTCAGGACCGAGGGGAGATCCCAAGAGGGTAACAGGTGGGGGCGCGGAGGATTTAACCTCCTTGCCCCTCTGAGAAACCTGATGACCAAGTCGTGCTTCCCCAAAGACTTACCGTCTATTGCCTCGTGATGTGCGGCAATGGCGGCAACATACACTTTAAGGGTGGAGGGAGACAGCCTTCGCTCCAACCCATCCTACAGGAAAGAGCCAGTGGCGGAACAGAAACAAACGGGAACAAAAGATTCTCCACCCGGCCCTCCTCCGGGGGAAGGAGTGGTGCAGTCACCATCTCCTGAAGAGCAGGATCCAAGAGCTCCGGGTCGCCCGTGTCAGGGACGCCACCTGCCCTGGCGCTTCACGGGCTTGGCAGGGGCGGAGGCGGACGAGCAGACAGAGGGGCTGCCGCCAGCAGTGGGGTGGAGACAGCAGCAGACCGCAGGGGCAGGATATGTCGAAACGCCTCCGTCTGCTTCTGCGCGGCGGAGAACTGTTGCATCGCTACAGGCATCGCTTCCTGGACTCCCCGATCTCCCAGGCCGGCCTATTCCACCGCTTCGCAGAATAGGCCGGCCTGGGAGATCGGGGAGTCCAGGAAGCGATGCTTGTCGGCCTCCCTCATATCCGCCAAGGTCAGCAATAGGTGGCGCTCCTGGACCACCAATGTGGACATCGACTGACCCAGGGCCCGCGCCGTGACTTTCGTCGCTCTCAGCGCGAGGTCCGTCGCCGTGCGCAGTTCCTGCAGCACACCTGAGTCAGCACCACCCTCGTGCAACTGCTTCAACGCCTTGGCCTGGTGGACTTGCAGGAGGGCCATGGCGTGCAGGGCGGAAGCGGCCTGTCCAGCAGCACTGTAAGCCTTAGCCGTCAGAGCGGACGAGAACTTACAGGCCCTGGACGGAAGGCGTGGACTACCTCTCCAGGCGGCGGCGCTTTGCGGGCAGAGCTGCATGGCAATCGCGCGCTCGACCGGAGGGATGTCCACATACCCTTGGCCCGCCCCCCCGTCGAGGGTGGTGAGGACGGAGGAGGCACCAAGTCTGTTTCGGGCAGAAAAAGGTGCCTTCCAAGACTTAGTAACCTCCTCATGCACTTCCGGGAAGAATGGAACCGTAGTGGTTTTTCATCTTCATGAGTCTTTCACAGAGCCGGTGCCGAGGAGGTGTGTGGTTGTTTTTCGCAGTTATTAGGACTACTGTTTTTAGATTGACTAAATATGGTAGGCAAATATTTTTTTCAAAATGCACTAAAAATCTAAACCTGAGAAACAGTAATAAAAGTTTTACTAAGTTTTAATAAAATGATTTACAGTGATGCTGTTTGCTAGCTACTACGCTGACCATCCAATCAAATGACGAGAAAATGCTGACATTATCGTTAGCCAGGTAGATGGCCCTGGTGCTGCCAACTCGAAATCTGATTGGTTAAAGCAACGGTTTCATTGCCATTGATTTAAGCTAACAGACGCCTGCACTGTGGATTCTGAAGGCCTTAAGGCAGATTTCTTTGACCCTGGCAACACGATTGCTGAAATATGATTGGATAAAAGCTCTAATATAAACATACACTGCTGGAAGCAGTGCAACCGAGAGAAATATTGGAAATAATTTAATACACATTCATGGAAAAATATATAATATATAAATCAGTGATTCTGATAATGTTTAGGCCAGCAGAGAAGGCTGTGCTGGCCCTGACGGCCCACCACTGGTATATATATATATATATTATACACATAGGCTAAATAACAGCACAAATATTTTGACTGTCCCTTATACTGGGCTGCTTATACTTTATTATAAGTCTAATTATATAATTATGACAACATTACATTATTTTTGGTCAGTTTATAATGTAATAAATGTATCATAATGTAATAATTGTTATTACATTATGAGCTCAAGATTTTATTACATTTTGAGAAAATTATTACATCATGAACATTTTATTACAATAATAATGTAATACT